AATTTTTGACTTCACGTTCTTTGAGGTTCCTGTTGTTTTTCGATGTCTTTGGGGCTTTTGTCTTCCAGTGAAACATTTTTTAGCTCTCCATGGTCTTTTTCACCATTGCTCGTCTCGTCTAAAGTCTCCATAGACGCTAATTCCGCCTGTACCTGGTGTTTGGTTAAGTTTTGCGACTCCGTGTTCTTTTTCATCCGTTCAAACACCGAAACTAGGGGAATTCGAATTGTGTCAAGAAGTTTTAATCTGTCTTTCGGCTCGGCAGTTTTATCATCTGTAAGTTCCAGACATAAAACATTTAAGCACATTTCATTCGTTCATAGTTCAATGAAACGATATTGAAACAAGACTCTGACGAAAAACTACGCCTATTGGTCCCTGCCGAAAAATTTTATATACGTTTAACTATATAATGTAATAATCATATTTCTTACTTATAGATACATTACTGTTTTTGAATATTCTAACCAGATGATTACAGATTTTGCCCAATGTCAAGTAAATGTTAAATTTACGATTTCATTGTCTGTAAGCCCATCGCTCGATTGAAAAAGGTTTTAAAACAAAATCAAGTGTCATCTTGTGGCAACTCTATTCTCTCCGTTTTCAACATTTTGTTGACGTTGTGCTTCTCGTCAAGATTTAATTTCGAACACAGAACAAGTAGTACATTCTGTAGTTCAAAGTTACATCTGAACAGAACGCTAAATTGTTTGCATTAGATTAGATTTACGCTTCTCGGCGACCCCCAGCGTGCGTCTTTTCTTTGAGTCCTAAAGCTACGGGTCCAGTGGATACTTTTGTATCGCAACAAATCGATTGTTGCGCTACATTTGTTGCCGTGCTGCGTTCATTGGACGGCGAGTTGCACGCTACTTTTGTATACGCAACAATGTATCATGTATCTGTGCTACAAATGTTGCGCGACTCGTGTCCACTTAGAATATCTAAGCAGCGCAACAATTTCGTATCTCCACAGACTTTTCCGTACTCGTTTCAGTCGATCACTTTCGGTTTGAAAATGTCGAGAAATGTTGCTGCTGCTCTAATTGTGCTTTCAACTCTAAAAAGTCCAAGACCTGCTAAAAAAAGCAAAATATGGGTGCGCGAGTGGATAGCAAGAAGAACTGAACAATTAATGAAATAATTTCGACATGAAGATCCTGGATTTTACAAAAATCTTTTACGTGTGCCTGGAGGCGATTTTGATTATGCAGGGTGATTCACAACCTTATGGACACAGAGCAGGGGCGTGTAGGTAAGTCGACTGGTTGTGAAAATCTACAGGGTGTTCTTTTTCTGTAGAGGCATACCCCCTTTTACTCGCCCGAGCTTTTATGTGGTGCGCGACTAACTTCGACTGGACACATTTTTGCATTTGTTGTTCAATTTAAGAATTTTCTGATCTCTTGCAGTTTTTTTCGTATCCATCGTGGTCTTCGAGTTATTTGCACAAACATAAGTCCATGATGTAGGGTTTCTGGGTGATTTTCCATTAATTTTTTTGTGTCTTTTTGTTCACATTTTTCTCTGAAAGCTTCAAGTTGAAGTTACACTAGGGATGGCTAACGAGTTAACTTTAAAATGTATTTATTTTTTCTTTAATTTAATTTATAATAATTGAGGTTTATCAGCTGTAAGCTAATCCAAATAAAAATACACAAAAATGTAACGAATATTTCAATTTATTATGAAATTAATTTATTTCACTAAAAAATGTGAACAAAAGGACGCAAAATTTATGGAAAATCACCCAGGAACCCTACATGGACTTATATTTGTGCAAATAACTCGAAAACGAAGACAGATACTAAAAAACTGCAAATATTCCGCAATTAATTTCCACTTCTCCATTCTAAAATTTGTGTTGCAACAAATCCTGGGAAACAAGCCACGTTTGTTTCGTACACAAGCGCAACAAGAAAACTGTGTCCACTTAAATGCTCACGGGCATCAAGTGGTGTATAGCCGCAACACGAATTTTGTTGCGATACACGTTAAATTTGTCCTGTCGAACACACATAGGAAACACGTGTTTCCGGCATGTTGCACAACATTGTTGCGGTACAAAAGTATCCAGTGGACCCGTACTTTTACATCTCAAGCCGTTTCTAGCCAAAACCGACTAAATCCCGAATCCGCTCTCACGGAACACCAAACCCGTTCCTTGAAACCATCCACCCAACCAATTAGCGGGGGATGGGGAGTAAAGTAAAGTATTCCCATCCTGTTCTGCCTTTTACATCTCCGACATTTCCCATCAAGGGTGCGGCGGCGCAGATGTGCGCGAGGTCAGCCGAAGCGTTGCTCAGCACATCAACCCATGCAACTTTTCCATAAACCCTAAAGCTCGCCTTTCCCTTGTCCCTCGATTCCCACACAAAAAATCCCTCTCTCTCTCTCTCTCTGACTTATGCCCACAATTTCCCCATACTTCTCCCGAACGTCAACCGACACTTTTACCCCGGCTCTCACACCCTTACCGTTATTGCGGAGATGGCTGACAGCTCGCCTGCGTTGGCTTTATCCACTACCACAAAATGTGAGTTTTGTTCGCCCGCGTATTAAACACCCACAAATATCGAATCTGCATGTTTGAGTGCTGCACAAATCGCTTTTACTTGCCATAGAAAAACCGACCATAGATGGTTGCGTTAAACTTCCAGGGCGTTTCCCGCTTGCTTGCCGCGTTTCACGTCAAAACTTGATATTTCGCACGTATACATCGCAGGCTCGACGAGATCGCTCCGAGTGAAGACCAGCAATCTCAAATCTGGAATTTGCAATCCGAAAATGAAACAGTACACAATGTGCCTCAATATTTGCTGATCTCCCGTCAAAATATGGATGGATTGCGAAAAACTTCCCGCCCCGACTTGCACGTCTTCCGTGTACCATGTCCATGCTGCAGATTTTAAGACATAAGACTCTCCCTAAAGATGAGATTTTTTGAGGATGTACATATTAGAACATCGGTCTATCACAGCTGTAAACGCGCAACAACAACTCAACAATAGAAGCCCCGCCCACTCCTCACGCATGATCTCACACGGCCGGGCCGCATAAATACGACAGGGGAGCCAGTCTTAGTCTTAGCCCGGCTGACAACAAGGATCCAGCAAATGTTAAACCACCGAAGCGGTCTAGGAGCCGTCTTCCTAGACATGTCTAAGGCGTTTGACAAAGTTTGGCACCAGGCCCTGATAGCCAAGATGATCACAGCAGGCTTTCCGGGCTACCAAACTAAGCTCATCAGCAGCTACCTATCTGGACGCAGCTTCCAGGTTAAAATCGAGAACCAGCTCTCAACCAGTCGAC